AATTTGAACATTGAAAATTTCGCGCCTACCTCAACGCATACACCTTTCATCCTTTTAAAATGGCACGGAATAATTCTGTCTACATTTCCAAGTAACAACTGCCGATCTATGTTTTTCTTAAAATAAATGGGTAAAATGTTTTGGCTAACATGGCATCCCTAAATTCACTCACACAATAGACAAACGCCAAAATTTTGCGTCACAGTTTTGTTGTAGCGCGAGTTCCGTCCGCCTTTTTTTATAGGTCCATGTATACAGTATTGAAAACCACTGCAATAAATTATTTAGATGATCGATCAGTGTGACTGTGAGTGTTAAAATTGTGAACCTATAGATGACCCACGCTGAACTGTCCCACCAAACTCAATGACAGGGGGGCGCTACCATCGTTCAACTATATGGTTTCCAACATGGCAAAAATCTGAACCAGCGATCCGGTATTGACGGTGGCGCCCCACTGTCAATGTCATCGACAGGACAGTCCAGTATTTTGGAACTATACAATTTATTTTCGAAATTGTTTTCACGGTGAGAGCGTTTTCAGGTTTTATCTAATGGGTTTTCTAGCCAAGTGTAGACCATTAATTTTATAATAAATGAAATAATGGCTTTAAGTTCCAAGGTCCAAGAAAACATGAGTCATTCATTGTTTAGAAAATGAATCGCAAAATGTGTTGATAAATAACGTTCAGCAGTTTTGTGTATAACCACATAATAATAATAAGTACCTATAGCCTGACCAGGAACATAAAAACCCTGGCATAGAGGCGCTTCAATTGCATTTGATAGTGCAACACTGAGTACAGTCGTACCTGTGTTAAATTAATAGGCTAAATTTATGTATCAGGATTCAGGATTACGGGCTAATTTGATATTTTCATAAATTAACGAAAAAATATTAATAAAGGTAACCTGGTTTAAATAAATTAAATGAAACCATCAATCGAGCTAGTAGGATTTATTTTATTATTCATCAATAATCAAATTCAGAACTTGAATATTCAACTGCAATGTCTGCTCATGAACGCTTCAAACTCGGTACTTCTTTCCCAATTCCATAAAATTCAAAACTGAGAAAGTGACAAAAAACTTTAAAATAGGTAGTTGAAACAAACTACAGCTAATTTTCATAGTAGACTGTACTATACGATAAACATGTCAGTCAATTTGACAACCTTTGTCGGAAACATTATTCAATGAAAATATTGTTCGAACCCTTGGTATTTCTCTTCGACAAATACATTAACACATTGTGAACCACTTTTCTTTCACGACTATAAAAATATTTTAGCAATTTAATTTCACAAAATCAATTGCACACTTTTAAAATAAAGTTTGTTTACACTTTGACAGCAATAGACTGACATGCAAGGTGACATGTTAATGAAGTTTTCAGTAACTGTTGCCATTAAAAGAAATTAGTACCATTAGTTTTCCTCAACATGGCGAGGGTTTTTATGTTCCTGGTCAGGCTATACCTACAGTTACTATAGATGACCCACGCTGAACTGTCCCACCAAACTCAATGACAGGGGGGCGCTACCATCGTTCAACTATATATGGTTTCCAATATGGCAAAAATCTGAACCAGCGATCCGTGGGTCTAGACAAAGTGCAAATTATAATCGCAAACCAGTCGATAAGTGGTCGAAAAACCCCTTTTTTGTATGGAGTTTTGACGGATTCGATTTTCGATTCGTTCAAAAAGTGCGTTTTGTCTAGAGGGGCCGGTATTGACGGTGGCGCCCCACTGTCAATGTCATAGACAGGACAGTCCAGCCCCCCTAGACAAAACGCATTTTTTGATCGAATCGAAAATCGAATCCGTCAAAACTCCATACAAAAAAGGGGCTTTTCGACCACTTTTCGACTGGTTTGCGATTAAAATTTGCACTTTGTGTAGACCCACAGTATTTTGGAACTATAGTCGCCACATCCGAACTGTAGTCGCTTCACTAACAAAAAAAAATTTTTTTTAAAGATTATTAGTAATTTGTTATTACACAAATTACTAATACTCCCGTTAGCCCCTCGTACTAAGCTAAATATGCTTGTGTCGCGAGTGAGCACACCACAATAGACGAGCGGCGGCGGGGACCGAACCCGCGTTCCCCGGATCACGAGTCGGCCAGTCCGACCCGAATTACCGAATCCCAACTAATATTATAAATGCGAAAGTAACTCTGTCTGTCTGTCTGTCTGTCTGTCTGTTACGCTTTCCCGCTTAAACCTCGCAACCGATTTTGATGAAATTTGGCATAGAGATAGTTTGAGTCCCGGGAAAGAACATAGGATAGTTTTTATCCCGGTTTTTGAAACAGGGACGCGCGCGATAAAGTTTTTCTGTGACAGACAAAATTCCACGCGGGCGAAGCCGCGGGCGGAAAGCTAGTTTATTATAAATAAGTAACTTGAAAAAATCGAACTGCCTAAAGGCGGGAATCGAACTCACGATCATGTCACAATCCAGGAGGTAGAGCAGTCGCTCGGCAACTAACCCGGCAAGCAAAAAGTCATGGGTTCGATTGCCGCCTTAAGCTGTTTGGTTTTTTAAAGCAATTTATAATGTGGAACATAATAATATCTGGAAAAGATCCCCCTATTTCCGTCATCTATCGTCATTAATATTTTAGTTTATTTTAGGGTCATCTGGATCATTAATACTAATGCCTAGTTAGTGCCCCGATTGCGCTAATTTTTAACGTCTCCAATACATTGGCGCTTCTTCACCAGTTGCACTCCGTTTTTCATTCTAGCTGAGGTGCAAATCAAAGTTCATGTGCAAACCAAGTGCAAACAAAGACGAAACAATGGATTTAATCACTTTGCAATAAAAGTCCGAACACCTTGTTTTTTTCACTAAAAAACCGGCCAAATGCGTGTCGGACTCACGCACAAAGGGTTCCGTACCATTGATTTATGAAATTATTTTTTTTTTTTTAATTTAAGTTATTTGTTTACGATTTACGAGGTATTAAAAAAAACTACTAACTAGATCTCGTTCAAAACAATTTTCGTTGGTAATTTTTATAGTAATGTATAATCATAATTTGTTTTTTTTAGATTTTTCATTTTCTTATTTTAGAAGTTAGAGGACCAAATTTTTTCCACTTTGGAAGCGTCTGTCACGCAAACTATTCGGTTTAGAAAAAAAGTATTTTAGAAACCTCGACATTTTTGAAGACCTATCCCAATTCCCATGACCTATCCAATGTGTTTGATGAAAAAAAAATTTTGAGATTCAGTTCTAAGTATGGGGAGCCCCCAATATTTATTATTATTTTTTTATTTTTGAATACTCTACTTATATACCAAGTTTCAACAGTATAGCTCTTAGTTTCGGAAAAAAATGGCTGTGACATACGGACGGACAGACGGACGGACGGACAGACAGACAGACATGACGAATCTATAAGGGTTCCGTTTTTTGCCATTTGGCTACGGAACCCTAAAAAGTTAAAAACAAGAAAATTAAATGTTCGTGAAGGCGTTTGACTTATGTTTGAGAAAAAATAGCTTATCTGTGGTAGCTTTCTTTCAGCTTTTACACAAACCCCCTTACTAATAGATGACCCACGCTGAACTGTCCCACCAAACTCAATGACAGGGGGGCGCTACCATCGTTCAACTATAATGATTTCCAACATGGCAAAAATCGGAGATTGGTGGGACAGTTCAGCGTGGGTCATCTATAGGTACACAGTTGTTGATCACTGTTTTAAAATGACATTTCCATACTAAACGTCACTTTAAAACATTGATCAACGAGCGTGTAAGTTTTATTAGTAAGGGGAAAAGAAACCAGTCGAAAAGTGGTCGAAAAGCCCCTTTTTTGTATGGAGTTTTGACGGATTCGATTTTCGATTCGATCAAAAAGTGCGTTTTGTCTAGGGGGGCAGTTGCGTTTTGTTTTCGTTTGAATTAGCTGTCAAAGCGACACCGCGATATAGTCAATATAGTTCCAAAATACAACTGCCCCCCTAGACAAAACGCACTTTTTGATCGAATCGAAAATCGAATCCGTCAAAACTCCATACAAAAAAAGGGGCTTTTCGACCACTTTTCGACTGGTTTGCGATTATAATTTGCACTTTGTCTAGAGTTCTACACCCACTGTCCTATGCATGACATTGACAGTGGGGCGCCACCGTCAATACCGGATCGCTAGTTCCGATTTTTGCCATGTTGGAACCCTTAGTTGAATGATGGTAGCGCCCCCCTGTCATTGAGTTTGGTGGGACACTTCAGCGTGGGTCATCATTATTGATGAAGTTCCAAAATACTGAACTGTCCTATGCATGACATTGACAGTGGGGCGCCACCGTCAATACCGGATCGCTGGTTCCGATTTTTGCCATGTTGGAAATCATATAGTTGAACGATGGTAGCGCCCCCCTGTCATTGAGTTTGGTGGGACAGTTCAGCGTGGGTCATCTATACTCATTGCAAACGTTGTGATAGGGATAGAGACATGCAATTTTTGGTTTTACGAAGGTAATACGATAGAGAATAATACAAAGTAATAAAAACCACCGGTTATAGGGGCATTTTTTGGAGAAATTTATCAAATAACCAAAAAAACACGAATTTTTAAGCAGATTTTTGTCAAAAAGTATCATTTTTTATTATTTTTTGGCCTTTTTTGTGTATTTTATGTATTTTTTTAGTATTGCCTGTTATTTAGCATTATTGCTTTTTTTATTTTATCAGGATCTACCGCTTAGTTTAAAAGTTATTACGTTTTCTTTACAATAAGTAATTGGAAGAAAAAAAATTCTATAAAAAATTAAAAAAAAATCTCAAAAATTTTTTGACCCCTTTTTTGTCGATAAAAATAGGTCTAGTTTCATCTATTTTCATATGTACACTTTAACGTGACTCACACTGTATAGTCGCGGTGTAGAAAATATTTAGCGCAATCGGGGCCTAGGCTGTATAGTATGATGCCCTTGCCAAGAAGAATCGAACCAAAAAAAAATTTGCCAAACGCCAAACCAAACGAAAATGACACTTTCTGTGACAACAAAAATCGGCCATTGCATTGCCATTGATGAGTGTTTTTGTTTGTATTTAACACTTTTGTATTAATACAAAATGCCTAAAAATATTACCAGTGAAGTGCGTGAGATAATTTTAAAGGTGAAAGAGTTTATGGACGAGGAAAAGCGAATGCAAGTGCCTATAATTCCTCTCAGTAAAGTGTACGTAAGAGTTTCTGCGGCCACTGGTGAGCATTGCAGCAGTAATTTCTTGATAATTTTACGAAATGTAGCACTAAAAATTAACATTTACCTATTAAATTAATGATAAATATCCTGCGAGTAAAAAGCTGATAGTCCCGGGCACATTTATTGACTTACTTTCTGACTATTTGTCTTGTTGTATCTACTCACCAAGCTATATTTTTACGTGTTAACAACTAAGTTTAAAATCACTTTTGCTTTACATGAACTATAGTTCAGTCAGTGGCCATCATAGGTACAAATCCTAAACATAAATATCCACAAAATATTGTTGTATGGCATAACAAATGACTCATAATAAATGACATGCCTAAGTATAATGCACAACATCATGGCATATTTTTTGATTGCAGGTGTATCAGAACGTACAGTATTGAACATTGTAAAAGAAGCAAGACTGGTTGAGCAAGGTCTACTTGATCCAGAGACATTAAAGAAGTCCCCAAAGAAGAGAGTACGCACAAAAGGAAAAATTGAAGTTGATGAATATGATTTACAAGTAATTAGACGGAAAATACATGAATTCTATGCATTCAAGAAAGAGGTGCCTACCATTAATAAGCTGTTGCAGATCTTAAAAGATGAAATAAACTTCAAAGGTTCACGAGAAACATTGCGTAAAATACTCCGTAAAAATGGTTTTCAATTTAGAAAAACAAAAAATAACAAAGAAAAAGAACCTGTACCTGATTCGACATCAACAGTTCCACCTATGGTACCTCCATACATACACTCCATGTTCAGTCATAAAAATATTCAGTCTTAGTTTAGTACTCAAAATATCTGAAAACATGTTAGAATAAGTTAATGACATAAAAGATTTAAAATGATTCTCACATCTGACAAAATATTTTTGCTATACAGAAAATATTTTATCAAGTAAAGGTTTGTGATAAATCTTCAGAAGCTGATAGTCTGCAAGTTTTTGTTATTCTAATTGTATGCTGATTACTTTAATTATACAGTAACATAACAATTGATCAGCGTCTAATTTACAATGGTCATAGAGCTGTTGTTCTTATCTATAAATTTAAATTCATTTTAGAATAAACTATTTTAATCTACTGACATAATGTTTACAAATTGAAATTTTCTGCTAATTGGTGATAACCACCTTTTTAAAAACTAGAACATAAGTTTGACAATCTTTATTATACAAAGAATATAATTTTATTAATTTTTAAATGTATATGCTCAGTCACAAGCCTTTGATTGATGCCTATTATAAATTACATCTTAAAGTTTGTAGTACAGACTAATAAGTTCTGTGCCTGTAGTGTCGTATTTGAAAATCAAAAGTGTAAGGTGTAGTGACAATTTACCAACCACAACTAATTTTAACATTCAATAAGGTAGATTACAGTACATGCGGCATGCTAGTCATCCCAATAAATTATTTTTTTCTGCTTTCAGTTGTTGTGATTGTAACTTATGTAACGTAAAACAATAAATATATTTATGGTAGAATATACAATGAGCACATACAATCCAATATTTTGAGTGGCTATAGACTGACAAATTGATATCATATAACTAGACATAATAATAAGTAATAATATGCAATGCTGATTAAAATCTTATAATTATATTTACTTTCTTTGTTTATTATGAAAAAAAGATATTATTATGTGCAGCATATCTTTTTTTTATTACCAGTGAATTGAGGCCGTCAGCGCAAAAGTGGCCTAACCCACATTTTTCATATTCGTACTGATCTATTGCAATTTATTCAAAACCTAATAAATTTTGTTGCTAAAGCGGCCTATCCCAAGTTTCACCCTTAGTTAAGAGATGGGGCGTTGTAAACATTCTTTTTGCGCGCATTATTTTTGCCTACGAAGCAATATAAAAGTGGCCTAACCAAGTTTAGGCTCCATACTAATATGTTAAGCTTAGGCCACTTTTGCGCTGACTGCCTCAATTAATGTTTTAATAATTTGAATTTATTCATTGAAAGATTAATAATTTCGCTCTTTCTCTCTCCAGTGAAAACGGACAGAATTTAAAATGTATGATAGGTATAATGACAATTCACTTTTGGCTGCAATGCGAATGTTACACTTAAGTTTGTGTTTAATAGTTACTATTGTATGCTTTGCTAGCCTTAATTTACTTGTGTGTCAGCCTGGATTGATTTAAAAAACTTTTAAATATGATTGATAAAATCAACATTCTTATTACAACAAGAGAGATCTCGTCCTAGGAAAGTCGATCCATAATACATTGGTTTCGACGTAACCTCTTTTTACAATCACATTGACTGCTTTTTACTATCACATGCTGTTTACTAAAGTTTTAATATAAAAACTTCATTTTATCATAGTAATGTGACAATAAAGTAAAACATCACAATATGTACCTTATTCATAAAGTTTAAATATAATAAGATACGTCTACACAATGGCTGCCTCCAATGTGACATGGCCAGACTCTGTATTGGTCAGCGTTTGAGATACACAACCGTTATTTAGTCATTTTTAACAAGGGATTAAGTGACAATACTAAAAACAACAATACATCAAAGTGTCCATGTCCTATTACTGTCCATAATGTAACTATCTCATTCTCACTGGTCACATTTTAAGTTTTTAACCCCTGGTGCAAAAAGGGCTGTTATAAGTTTGACCGCAGTGTGTCTGTTTGTTGGCACCGTTGCTCTTAAACGGGTGAACCGATTTGGATGTAGTCTTGTGTTTGAAAGCAGGTTTTCTAGTGGCGGTGGTTCTTAGACATGTTTCATCAAAATCGGTACAGCCATTTCAATGTCGTCTCTTAGCTCTTTAGCGGTCAAACTAATAAGGGAGCGATTTTTTTAATTAGTAGTTATAACATCTATTCTTACTCAGCGGGGACCGCTGCCCAGCAGATTCAAAACTTTTGTACGACTCACTGTTACCATGACGTAATAGTCTCCAATGAGGTACCCTCTGTTCTTCTGTTTCTGTTGTTCGTCTGTTCTGTTTTCATTTTCTTCTGTTCTTCGGTTCTGAATGGCCTACCCTCAAATGATTTCCTATTCTTCTTCACTTCACATGTTTTGAACAGTGTATTATTATTAATTTTATATTAAGTGAAATTATTTAATACTGATCTAATCTGTATCATCACACCAATTATTTATTCATTATAATTAATATCTTTGTTGTCCTAACAGAAAAATTACCACACCCTTTTACTAACTCGGAATTTAAGAATGAAATTGCAAGTTGGTTAAAAAATTTACTTCTTCATGACTTCATCGGCGCGCCGATGAAAAGCCATTATTTTCATGGAAATATCGTGAAAAAATCGTGAATCTCTTAATTCCATAGATAAGCATCTTACTAATGACAAGCGTGTGGTGGTTTGAAGTACATAAGTGTATTTGTGTGCTGTGTAAGTAATTTTACTTGCTGCAGTCTCCACAAAGTGGATTGTTTTTAATTGTGACCTTTTAGTGACGAAAATAAATGTATCCTACATGTTTTAGTTTGTAATAGTGTAGAAATAGATATAAAAATAGAATGTATGTGTAAAATATGATATAAATAAAAATTCGTTTTATTGGATTCACATTTATTTCATTTATTCTGCTGCTTACATAGAATATAATTTTAATAACATGAATCACACAATGCTGTGAAGTAGGTACAGGGATTTTTAATGATTTTGTATGTTGTTCATACATCAAGTTACTTAGCGGAATACACTTAGTTGATATGGGCACGTAAGTATATTTTATTTATTATGAAATGCTATTTTTTTGCATAAAAAGGGTCATCTTCCTACTTTTCGCATAAATGACAAAACTTTTATAATCAAGTCATGTAGCCAATTACACTTTTAAACATGTGAATGTGACTAAATGATGACCCTAGATTATTTACTCTACCTACTCCAAATATAATATATATTGAGCCAAAGTGCTCAAAAGTAGTCTAGCGCATTACAATTTGCTAAAGATATCTCACTAACTTCATAGTTACTTCAAAATTATACTATACTCAATGTAATAGTTTTTAAAATTGTATCATTAGTTCCATACCCCCCTATATTTACAAGCCAACATACAACTTCACTTAATAGAAATTTAATTTAAAGACAAATTGAATGATAACTACAATAATTTTACTAAAGAAGTGACGCGGTAGCAATAATTATTATAGCATAGCTACGCATTTAGTCTAAAAAATATGAAGTTTAAAAAAGTATGTTACTTTATGTGAAGTATTTTTGAGCAACATAACAATATACTGTTAAAGGAATCATTATCAATTTTTTACTACAGGATTCCTGAATACAAATAGGAAATAAAATGGACGGCATCTACAATGCAAAAGTGAAGTAGGTTAGGTACGAGTAGGTTGATACAATAAAAATATATTTATCAAACAATAAAATAAAACCTTTCAAGTTAAATGTAACAATCTCGCACGATATAGTGTGTATATATATAATTTATAAACTTTATACTAAGCAACCATAATATTTATATTTGATATTATACATAACGTTTATATAATTATTCTTAAATACAAATAGGTAGGCAACTCCTAAACTACGTAAGCAAAATAACCAGCAAACTGTAGCATTTGCCGGACTATTCGGAAAATAATAGTAATAGGTCTACCAGAATATGGCATGATATCTTCATAACCATTTGTTATTTTTGTGAAAATGTCGAAAAAGCCACCTAACTACATCTCAAACGAGTTAATAGGTAATATTGTTTTCAATTATTGCGATCCGCGTAGCTCGATGGTGCCGCAGTATAAACTATTGCAGTATTGCGAGCCACAGTACAGTTGATGTCGCACGGAAAATATTCGCTAAAAATTCCACTTTCGTTTGTATTTTTTTTTTAGTGGTTAACACGTTTATGTAGATCAAAAACGAGATCTCTTGTAAGTGAACTACCTGTCCTTATGATTAAATTCTTTAAACCGAAGAATGAGTCTGGATAATCGGATATCCGGATAATCGAAGCTCGGAAAATCGAGATTCTACTGTACTTATTTTTCAAGAAATATTTCCCTATGTTGTTGCTACATTCTTCATGCACAGACCTAAAATGTATATTCGTACTTCCAGTTAATTAATATTAAAATCATAAATAAAAACTAAACGGTATCAAGATCGTAAAACAACAAAATTTCTTTTCCCCATTTGCCATGAGATTCTGGTAGACCTAACCACCATAACCTTATACGTCAACAAGCCTTCTATAATTAAACTTATAGCAATGGCAATAAATAATTTACGCATATATTCCATCAATCCTTAGCGAAGATGCCAATGTTGAAAAAAATGATCAATAGTTTTTACTTCTTTGCCAATAGTACTTAATCAATAGAACAAAATGGTATTCATTTTGCTTTCTAATTTACTCATAAGGCTGGCATTGCCACATCACCAATCCAACATTAAGCTACGTCGCTTATGCCCTACTAAACAGGGTCTTCATTCACATTTTTCATTATTGCTCTTGGAATACAAACGTAGCGAAACTGTGCCGCTTACGTAAAAAATATATACCTTATTTAATAGTAAACACAAAGAACGATTTATGAATGACACATGAAAAATGCGAAAATAAGTAGATTCCTTTATTTACTAAAATCGATGTCTAGTATAGCTTTCTTAAAAGTAATGAATACAATACCTTAATCTAAATGCAGAAAGCTTGAGTTTGAAGCAGACGACATTTTGGTTCTCTGCAGCAATCTGGGAGCGATAACTAGCTTAGTTGTTAAGAGATAAAGTTCAAAATGACTAACAAAGAAGTCCAAGTACTACAATTAATTAACATTAGGCTGACTAAAAACCATTTTGATCATAATAATGGCTACTTATAACAACAACACTACGCCCCATAATAATGGCCACTCATCTCGTTTATACATATTGTGCATATAGCAACATACAGAATCCAATATAGACTTTTACAATCTTACATCTTAACATAATCCGTCTTCGTCGTCGGCCTTCTTGTTGTCATACGTAACTGCCTCGTACGGAGACTCTTCTTCTCCATCCTCCGAGTATTTCTAGTAGAAATAACAATTAGCGTTCAGTATGATTTATTTATTTTAAACTTTATTTTTTTAACTTGCACTTTTAAACTGGGACGTGTAAAAGTGCTTTTTAAAAGCCTATTTGCAAAAATAAATGAGTTTTATGAGTTTTTTTTATTGCACAAAATATCAAAGTACAAAAAGCGTACTTAACCCATTTAGACCTACCGTACCCTATGTGGTACGGTATCTTTTTGAAAATATTTTGATGTACCAAACTGTCGTTAATTTTTAAAAATGATTGTGACAGTAACCTTAAAGTTATTATTTTACATAAACATATTTAAAAATATGTTTTAACGAGTAATTTCGGAAATATTTTATGAAATTCCTCGACAGAAAACAAAAAAAAAAATTGCAATGTATTCAAGAAGGTATATTTCTTATTATTTATGGTAAATTATGTTATTTATCAATTTCATTTAAAAAATAGAGTACAATAGATATCATGACTACAAAAAAATATATTATTGAGATTATTTTTATACGGTTTATTACAGTCTAAAATAGGTGTACCGTATAAGGTACAGCAGGTCTATGCATGAGCAAATCATGTGAGAAAATATAGTTTATTTTTTATTATTTTTATTAGTTTTAAGCTATTGATGCTTCACTATATTGCCACAACTCATAAAAAATTTGATAATTTCAGCAAACATAAAGCAATATTGGTATTTTTCTACTGCTGTCTTGTCAGATGACCGCTAATGATGATCAGACTGATGAAAATTCAGGCGATAAAGATAGTGTCAATGTAAATAATTACCCACAGAGTTTTCTTCGATGGATTTGCTGAGTTTCCATCGTCGTGTTGCTAAATGCGATTATGAATAGCACTAAACGTAACAAGTCAGAAGAAGCTAGGTCTTCTTCAGCTATCCTCACTTACTTCGGAAAAGGTAGAAAAAAGAACCAAACGTGGTTAGTATCACACAAAACGTCTTACAAGATGTGCCAGGTATGATACTGGTGATTTTGTGATTTTATTTTTATTTTATTTCATACAAAAATAAATAAAAGCCTTCTTTAAACAATGAGTATGTTTTGCATGCTTATAGACCTACTGTACCCTATATGGTACGGGCTCCCCACGGCCCCCTATTTATGGATTATTTTTTTAAATATTTTTTTCATACTTTTTATGCTTCCCTTTGTTAGTTTTTGCTGAAAAATCAAATTTTATTTACAAAAATAATTATCAGTCTAAATGGGTTAATAAGGCAATATTTTGCAGTCAACCATTGGGACAAGGAGAATCGACTTATTCTAAAGAGCTTCCTCGATGTGGATAAAAAAATGCAGAAAATCCACGAAATAGATGCGTAGTATTCTATGCTTACGAGCAAAAGTATGGAATCACATCTTTATGTTCCGAGCGATCTTAAGAACTGAATGACCATGTATTGTATGTATCTATGGTGTCAATTTTAAGTTTATAATATCACCTCTTAAATGGTATCATTCTTAATGGTACCAGCTTTCTATGAGTCATTTAGTTCTTATGATCGCTCGGAACAAATAGGGTGTTTCCATATTTTTGCTCGCGAGTGTATTTTACCTACGCGTGAGAATGTTCTAAGTAAAAACATGAAATTCTGAAACCAGCAATGAATAAGAAACTTACCGCAGCGCCGCTGCAAGACGGCGCCGGGCCGGCCGAAGCCGCTACGTTGGCGCTGACGTAAGACGGCGCCGCGTTCTCACGGACCCCGGCGCTCGGAGCCGGCTCAATGCCCTCGGGCAGCGGGACCGTCATGGCCAATCTGGAGTATTCCACATCCATGCTCCTAATGAAAGGCGACGAAAGCGCGGCCCTGGCCCCCGCGCGGTCCTCCTCGTCGTAAGCTTGGAGCAACTGCTCCAGAGTAGTGGACTCGGCCGCCTCGCAATTGTTGCCCCACTCCTGCATACACACGGCGCGTCAACATTGCTATTACGTTTCTTGTAGGAAACATTGCGCGAGCATTCAGTTTGTTAACAATCCGTTAGATGTCTAGACAAAAGAAAGAAAAATCAACCAATTATGCCTATTGTCGAAGTCATTTATCTTTACTTTGATTTGCAATCAAGATTAAAGCAATTTCACACTATCAACTAAAACCAACCTTGTAGTTTCATTGACTAACCTTGTAAGCCTTCTCAGCAGCCACCGGGTCTCCCCTAGCGAGCTGGACTATCACAATGGCGACCACGAGACGGCCGACCGCACCGTAGTTGCCGTGCTCCAAGTTGTACCCAATCTCACGCCTCAAGCTGTCCACGGCTTGGTCAAACCTTCAAAAAGGGTATTTTAATACTTATGCCAAAGCGTAAAACTTAAACCACATTATAAAAAAAGTTTGAAAACTTCTCACTTCCAGAGCTTTGTTTTATAAGCAAAATTGCAAAAGATATAAATGTATGTACAGTCGCGGAATGAAAAGGTTCGTCACCTTAGTGTCGGTTTTCGCTTGCACTAGGTACTGTAAGAGTCAAACCTGCCAACATAACAGTGCAAGAAACAGTGCCGCTAACATTTAAATAAATATGACGTTTGCTAACGAATAAGGTTTTGCTTGTTTATTTTTCTATCCCATCAGTGCAATGCAATGATGACATTGACCAATTGACAATAGTTTTTTTTATTTAAAAGAAATAATAATGGCAGGTTGAACCAACAAGAAGGTTTTAGTTTATCAATCATAATAATCTTCTTGACAAGATAATTCGTCAAACAACTTTGATCTGAATAATTTTGAACTTTACTGACGAACAGTTAAAGATTATTTTCTCTAACTCGAGATTATTCTGTAACATAGTTTCAAAAGGTAATAATATGTGCTCGCGATTCGTTGAAGGAATCAATTTGAAAACTGACGAACCTTTTCATTCCGTGACTGTACATAAAACAGTAGTATCCTGTAAATCAGTCTTTCCCAAAGTGGGCGATAACGCCCCCTTGTGGGCGCTGCAGGCTTAAAGGGGGGCGGTAAGAGACCCAGAAAAAAATAATCGGGACGTTGTGTAGAGGCTTGTGAGGCGTCATCTACTAGGAGGACTCTTAGACACCAACTGAGCTCGACTCGACTACAAAAATGGGGGGCGCTAAAAAATAATTTATTCTCAAAGTGGGCAGTAGATTAAATAAGTTTGGGAACCGCTGCTGTAGATTGTTAAGTTCGGTCGTATTTTATTGTTCAATAATCGAATCGATCATACTTACAGTTCAAGACGGGTAAGTATCCGAGAAGACTTGCGCATATATTCCGCACCTTGATGTTGACTACTCTCGGTCTGAAAAACAACTAGAGGTCAAACAATTTCTTCTCATAAATCTAAGTTTAGCCGACAAATTAATGTACCTATAGAGCTGTCCACTAAAAGGTTTAATTAATAATGACATACTTACCGACGACACATCTGCCGCCATCTGATATAATTTAACAGCTTTCTCTGGATCATTCTCCTCCAGAATCTTGGCTGCCTTCTCAAGCACGCCGGCACCAGCGTCTCCTGACCCATATTGTTGATAATACGTAGATGCATCCGAAGCCATTGTAAAAATCTACGCCAATAGGTATACATTTATTAGAACAAAATCAAAATTAAAACATAACACGAGAAAGAACTGATATATGTAGAAAAGGACTAACATATGTACCTTTTAGAGCTGAGGAAAGGGCTTATTCCACTATTCCCCATTGTAACAAAAAGTTCACTAAATGAATAGTGGAATAAGCCGAGGAAAGTACTTTTGAGAAATAAATAGTAAACTGTATTTTGATTAATGGAAGAAACTGGTAGAGTGCTGATCAAGTACAACCCGATCGAGTTAACTGCGTACTTCGCTGGATTGCAACTCTCCCTCCCACTTACCCGCTGACCTCGCTGCGTTCGCCCTATCCGTTCTAGAACGTAGATGTGACGTCACGACCGCCAGTTGCGCAGTTAACTCGACCGGGTTGTAGCCTTTTGAAAGGAACATACCTCATCGGCGGCACACGTTTCTTTGCAAGCCATCATTGCCGTCTCCAAGCACTTGCCGGCATGGAACAACGCATTATTCCGTATGTGACATTCCGCCGCCTTCGCGTAAAATTCTTTCACTTTTTTTTGGTCACGCACAATTCTATAGCACTGAGCTGCAAAGAAAATATGATACTTGTATTGTTATTATTCCAGGAGTATATTGCAACAATGCAATGTCGAAATCAATAAAGGACAATTCATCACATCTTAGTCACTTTTAAAAACGAAACAAGGTAAGTGTTGTAGGAGATAACAATATTTTTGCATGGAAATTTACAGGGGGGTTCCAGCTGGCTTACGTGTACAGAAGCGCACGCGTGGCATTTGGTCCACTGTCCATGCTCCGTATGGAGGATGCAAGATGTATGTTTGAAGACATACAGTAGGTACTTTACGCTAGGTTCCCTATGTGCCAATATATTGACCGTAAGGGATTTATCGGTAAAACGAACATACTATGAAGAAATAAATACTTACCTGCTTGAGTAAACGCATCTGCGGCAGAGTCATAGTCAGGCTTCCACCGAAAAAAAGTCGACTTCAATCTGTAAAATAGAACAGTATTAATTAATTTTCCTCTGATTTTGAAACCAGTCAAGTGTGAGTTGGGTATGTCTTCCATATTAAAACCAGCTTTTCTATTTGCCATCTTCCAATTTGCAAAAAGAGACCACATTCTTTCTAAAATATAGCTAATATACCTTTATTAATCCATAAGATTGTAAGTTAGCATGTAACTGAATACAAGAATTCGAAAACTCATAGGAAGTGACTGCATGTACATACACATGCATGAAAGGCTAAGGTCTGAAATCATCATATCAAATAACATGCCTATCATTGACTACTGCAACAAACTCTATTGATTTGATAGTGTTCATAGTGTCATTTGTGGGAGTTGTATCCGGGTATGTTGCTTCAGGCACTTTTAACAGATTTGTAGCATAGTAACAAAACATCCATGGTTAGAATAACTATCAAAGTGAAAAACAAAGCAAATCAATAGTTGGCATCATTTGTCTGTAAAATCAAAGTTGATCGGCCTGATCGTCACTTACCATCAGGTGAGATACAAGCCAAGAGCTTCCTCGCTGTGGATAAAAAAAAAACAACAAATCCATTGGACCAACCTGACCTTTTTTGGCTATATTTGCAATATATTTTGTTTGATATAAGATTTGAAGAAAGAAAAAAGACTAAAACTAGCAAAATCAGTCAGCCTTGATTGTATGCTTCTGTGGTCCAGGGCTAGGACAGTGGAATATTTCAGACTTGAATAAATATAATTTTCCAAAAAAAAAATTTAAAATTCTTTATTATATCTGAGGGCATGATTAGTTAGTTCGACAGAGAACTATGTATGAAGCATTTATTGTAAATCTTGTTTATGGTGCTTTATTTAGTCTTAACACCTGGATTAAGATAGCCATTGTTGTAACCTACATAAGGCTTCCTGCTGTTGCTTTACTTAATTCATTTTTGGTTTGATCATTCTAAGTACCTATACCATATGGCCATATGGCTAGAGGGCGAATAGGACATGACAAAATATTTCTTATTATGAGGCAGCAACAAAAATGGCTTTTTAAATTCAACTTCCTAAAAAAGTAAAAACGTTAAAACAAAATGAGCACCTTAACACTCAGATGTGTCAACAAGCCAAAAAATTGTGATTTTAGTCCCCTGAGTTTATTGTACAGGCATTTCATACTACACTAAATCATTACAATATTTTATATGGATTGACTAGACCTCAAAATGGTATAAACAAAGAAAAACAAGGTAGTAGATGGATAGTGTTAGGTATTGCTCAAATTATCATCTGCTTTCAAATGACTGCAATTTAATGTAGGTACAATTTGGACATTCATCTACAAAAACACTAACTTCAAAACTGAACTTATGTGTTGTTGTATGTATACATTTGCTAAGCCCTAACAATATGTTGACAAAAACCAATATTTACTGAAGTATACCACGTAATACTATTAAAATACTTACGCCTTCTCAGCATTTTTGATATGATTTTCAGCTTGTTGAATTTTATCAGCCATTGTGATTAAGTATATTATTTGCAATGTATAATTACCCTTTCACAAATTATGATACCAAACTGACGGATGGTATAATCACTACTGAAAAATCAATACTACATGTACCTAATCGCTTTCAACTTCAGCAACAAGCACAAGCAAACCACAAATGTCGCGGATAAGTGTTTGTCTGACAAACGGCCTACTTTGACAATGACAAACTTTGTCATTGTCAAAGTAGGCCGCAGGGTACGGAAACTTCCATACTACGATCAAACTTGCTTCCAAACAGCGACTTCAGACGATAAATTCCTCAGATCATAGAAAGAGAATAGATTGAAGTCGCGCGTAACTACAACGAGAACCAGCAGTGTTGCCAGTCGGGTCTAGTCAGAAATTACCATAGAAATATAAAAAAGTAACCTTTTTGAATAAAAAGTAAATATTTTCATTTTTTTCTTAATTAAAATATATTTCAGAATATTGTTAATTACAATGTGAAAACTTTTTTTAAAATGAAATTAATTTGTTTTAATTTAAAACTGAACGGTGACATTTTTTGTTATAATTTACTTAATAGAGTAGTAGAAATTACTATTTAACATATGGCAACTTTGTTTTTCCTCCAAAATGGCCGGTGTTGTTTTTGTTAGGTTGAATGCATTCTTGTTTTCTTAGCCATCGTTTATGAGTTCTGTGGCCCTATTAAAGTATTGAAGAGTCGAGTCAAATTCAAGTTCATTCCTTCGTACCTGCTGCTGTTCTGGTTCATCGGAGTTTTGTTCGTTCCTTCGTGAATCGCGAAGAAACTTTCTGTTATGTTAACAAGTGATCTGAGTTTTCTCAAAGTGCAAATGCTTTTTTAGTGTTGTTGAAAACTTTGCGAAAAGACGCTTTTGGTGTATAATATTATGTGTGTTCATAAATAAAGTAAAATTATTAAATTGAAAAGTTTTTGTTTATTTGCATTTCCATGTGCAATGTAGAATTTTTCCAAATCCATTGTTTTGAAAATAATACAATACGTACACCATAAAGATAAATACTTTCAAAATAATGGATTTGAAAAAATTCTACATTGTACATCAAAAAAACAATAATTCTTTGAAGGTTATGAGGGCCTATGTGTGCGTGAACTGTGTGTATGTGTGCGTGGACTTTATGTATGTTTGTGTGCGTGTACTATGTGTGTATGTGAGCGTTACGTACGTAGGTTAAGTACAGCGAATTTAACACCAGGCTGTCAATTAGTAGGCTCAAAAATTTGACAGAGAGGGTTCTCTATTTCCTATGTATTACTTTTCTCTATGGTAGGCCGAATGACGTTAGTGACGTTTGCAAAACCATAGACAAAATACATGACTGGACATATTTTTCATTTGTGATTTGAAAAATGGGATTTGAGCATAAAATGTGACCAGTACAAATTAGAAAAATCTACTAATACCATCATTATGCAAATCAGACAGAGATGGCGCTGATATCAGTAATATTTTAATGAGTTTCAAAGTTTAAAAAAAAAATGGCGGGACTTCACGGCTGAACCATAGTAAGTGCAGCGGAGCAAATTTTACAGGAGAGCGAAAAAACGTATTTTCATTTGCTCTGCTAAGATGCTTAAAGACAAATCTTTAAAGTTATCCAAAGATAACTTCCGATGTTTATATTGAAGATTAGTTACTAAAGTATACTTTACTAAAAATTACTCACTAAAAATTATTTTTTGACATAATAAGTGCCACGTAATTAATTTAAATCAAAATCGATTATCGAATATGATTCAGTACTCATTAGTCCCCAGATTTTGATATGGTTATCGAGTGTCAGCCAACAGAACTCGAAATAATATTTAAATTACAGTAGCATTTTACCTCTAGTAAGTCACATTGACCATTTTGAAACTTAGTAAGTCCATGCACTTACTAGGGTTTTAAAGTGGTCATTGTAACTTGCTAGGTTTTGATATTGGTTTTTGCAGATTTGAATTGGACTTACCTACTAGGTTTTTACCTACGTGTTTTTCCGGTGTTACTTAAGTGTAATAGAGCGATTTCTGTCTTCACATCCTGCGGAGACCTTAATTCTAAGGTGATTTATGACAAAAAACGAAAATCTGTTAAAGTGTCCCTTACTAGGTTCTTAAATGGTTCAGCCGTTCAATATATCAATATATCAATGATTTAAGCTTTGATTAATATAATCAAAGCTTAAATCATTGATGATAGTGTAGTAAATAATAATAAAGTGATGTTTTGTAAAAAAAAAATCTCTAGGTAACTAATACCTGATACAGTTGACAGACGCTTTTATCTTGAAGAGAACGCATCCTAGTCATAATACTGATAATACTGCCAAAATTGACTATTTTTAGGGTCCCGTAGTCAAATGTCAAAAAATGGATTCGTCATGTCTGTCTGTTCGTCTGTCCGTCAGTTCGTCTGTCCGTCTGTCCGTCCGTATGTCACAGCCATTTTTTTCCGAAACTATAAGAGCTATACTGTTGACTGTATTCTGTGAACCGCATTAAATATTGATGCAAAAATTAAAAAATAATAATAAATATTGGGGGCTCCCCAAACTTAGAACTGAAACTCAATTAAAAAAAAAATTTTTTAAATCAATGGTATGGTATCCTTTGTGCGTGAGTCCGACATGCACTTGGCCGGTTTTTTTTCAAAATGGCCAGTTACAGATTATAGCAATTAGGTATAGTGACCTCCCTACCTTACGGGTAGATTAGTAGGTACCTACGGTTGCAATTACTTCCTTAGCGACTAGCTAGATTAATGTAAAGAAGTCTCTTTCATAAATATTTTCTCATAATCATTTTGCTACTTATGCTCAGTCAAAACGAGTAAACAGTAGCAGTAGTTAGTAGTAGGAGTAGCAGTTCTTTACTTATACCTAATCTATAATCTATTTATAGATTCTCATTCCGCGTATACCTACCTACCAACTGCAACATAATTAATACGACTCATCGATTCATTGGTAAATGAATTTAATAGAATTTCGATTTGAAGAAGATAAGGCAGTGTCCTCTATCCAAAAATATTGTTTATTCAATGTCGTTCCCACGATTACACTGGCGATCTTACATCGCGATAGTAAAGGAAAAACGCGTATCTGACAAAGTTAGCTTATAGTTATTGCGTAGATAAGATTATTCACGGGCGTCACGAGTTGTACGTAGATAGTTAGACTAGTTAGTCAGTAAGTTAAAGTCAGTAAAAAAAGTCAAAAGTCAGGCAGTGTGAATACAACTGAACCTCGTCGAACTTACCTGAAAATAATAGTTATTTGCTGTCTTTCTTCGGGCCTAGAACTGACTTCCAGGTGGTAGGTACCTACATAAACCGCCTGTTTCGAAGCCTGTACAAGATCGAAAACTTTCAGGAAATAAAAAAAATATGCTTCTTTTTATTGCTTTGTATGAAACCGGAGGTACCGAAGAGGACATCACGATCACGGCCAGATCTTTGCACATCTTCCACCGGAATTGACTTGAAGGGTCAAGATCAAAATATTCGGGCCCACTGCCACGAAATTCCGATCGACCAGCAGATCAATCACCACAAGTGGAACTGGATCGACTACACTCTCCGAAGGGAACCCGATCACATCCCCAAGCAGGTTCTAGATTGGAACCAATTAAAACCCAAACGTGATCGACCCAACCAAACTTGGCGGTGCACTGTAGCAGACGAGGCGAATAAAATCGGCAAGACTTGGAGCGATATCGCGAAGTTCAACAAAACCGAACACGATGGAGAACTGTTGCGGACGCCCTCTGTCCCATCTAGGGGACATGGGATGGGAAATTAATGCCCGTTTTCACCATCAATCCCTGATTTTTAAGTGCCCCTATGAAAACAAAATTCCTGTTATGTGTTACCATAGGGGATCTCTTAAAAATTAGGGATTGATGGTGAAAACGGGCATAAGTCCAGTATAATTTACCGATTACTATAATGATGTGTCATATTATGCTATCAGCATTTTTGCGGTTTTGTGTATTAGGCCTCAGCCTCGAATTTAGCGGGCAGCGGCGCGGGAGCGGCGGCGGCGCGGGAGCGGGGCGGGCAACGCAGACCCGTTCTCGAAACAAGCGGGCGGGCAGCTCGCGCGGCGCTTTAGCGGCGAAGTGTTGTGTTCGGGGTTGTGTTGTCGAGATATTTGTTTTTATTCGCAAACGAAATGTCTGAACAACGGCGACAATTTTGTATTGATTCAAATTTATTTCTAACGCTCGATTTATTGTGGGCAAAAGAAGAAGGAGTACGCTGCCCGCTCGTTGCCCGCTCCCGCACCGCTGTTTTCGAGAACCGGTCTATTTGATTTTCGCATAAGATCCTGCCGCTCCCGCGCCGCCGCCGCTCCCGCCCCGCTGCCCTCTAAACGCGAGGCTGAGGCCTGACAAACCTTTTTAATATTATAGAAAACCTTAGTCTTGGAGTAGATGTCAGTTACGTCGTCTGCAGCGGGAGCGTCAAAAAGATGCTTATCATATCAAAACTACAACTGCAAATATTTGCAAGGAGCTATTAAAAATCCTTCACACGGATCCAGGGTTGGCATGAGGAGGGTGAATGCCCTCACATGTAACCCCTGTAGCAGGCCAATAATATTCATGTTGTTATCAGGATATTTATTAGTTACATACCTAATTAAATTGAAATTATTGTTTTTATTGTGTATGCTCATACGCTTACTTGCTCTGGGAGGCTACGTCCTACGTTCAGATCAGAAGTAAGGTTACTAACTACCTGGCTGGTTTTCAATTTGGTTGAAAGAAATGAAAATATAAAATATAAACAATAACATAATAATAAATAATAACCTTTTAATAAATAATCATATTTTTCACTGTTGCTACGACTCCCAGTGTAAATGGGTCAATGTGAAACATAGCAAAATATTTTTGCCTACTGCTTACCAGTTAGGGTTCATTTAAAAGGACCATTCAGAAGGAACACGTGTGCTCACCCCAACCCTCTACAAGTCATTCCTACCTCTTGTTTGTTACATTAGAGCCCATGCACACTATCTTCATCGCAAAATCGGGTATCGAAAGACATCTTAAAACACGCCAAACGCAATTAGGTATTATTATTGTACATAAACATACTGCGACTATTAACGACTCTATATCATTTACTTACTACAAAATAACGTAG